GTAGTCGTCGTCGTAGTAGTAGTAGTAGTAGTCGTCGTAGTAGCAGCAGTAGTAGTAGTAGTAGTAGTAGTAGTACTGGTGGTGGTGGTAGTAGTAGTAGTAGCAGCAGTAGTAGCAGAAGTAGCAGTAGTAGTAGCAGTAGTAGTAGTAGTAGTAGGAGGAGGAGGAGGAGGAGGAGCAGCAGCAGCAGTAGTAGCAGTAGTAGTGGTAGTAGCAGCAGCACTAGCAGTAGCTGTCGCAGTAGTAGCAGTAGTAGTAGCAGCAGTAGTAGCAGTAGTAGTAGCAGCAGCAGCAGCAGTAGCAGTAGCAGCAGCCCCGCCGTCGTAGTCAGTAGGAGTAGTACATCAACCGTACGAGCGGCATTGGTCTCCTGAGCCATCGACTTGCCACAACGCAGGCCACCAATCCTGCTTCCGGGGTTCCTACGTCTCTGCGCGATCTATAAGCTGGAATATGCCTTTGACTGTTCATGCGCTGATGTCAGTGGAGGACAGCACGGTTTCTTACGCTGACACCGAGCTAGCCGACGTCTGCCGTTTATAATTTCAACACCTGCTGCAGCAAAGATGCCTGTAGTAAAACTTGAGGTGCACTTGTTGCTGGCTACCCTGTCGGTCCAGAACATTCTGCAGCTTCGTGAGGTGGGTGGCCACACAGCTCACCTGACAAGAAAGCTTGTCGTGTCAACCGGGTTTGCGAAGATGGCTCTACAACAACTTCTGTTACTCTTGCCTTCACCACCATTCGGAAGGAGTCTCGCTTGTCTGCTGCACGGGCAGCTAAGGCCTCGACAGTAAATTCACTCCGCAACGCCCCAAGCTCCAGCCGCAAAACTATGCAAAACTCGCCACGTGGAGGCCTTGTACATGGCAGGATCCTTGTACGAGCAATTCAGCTTCTTCCTTGCGAAGGGTCAGCAGTCGTGAGTTCATGCCGCAAGCTCGCGAGATCACCTGTAGAGGTCGCCGATGTCACGGGTTGGTTTGTCCACATCGTGCCAGGTGTTAGTCATCTCGATGAACTCGAACCTTGGAAAGCCGTCCATGGTACTTACAAGACCTCCAAAATACAATGTGAGCGGCCGGCGTCCGTCGGTATGACTCGTGGGACCCACCCATGTAGTCCATGGTGCCGACATGGATCTGCGAGGTTCACATGACACACGTGCCAACTGCTGAAGAGCGAGCGAGAGCGAGAGAGAGAGAGAGAGAGAGAGATAGAGAGAGAGAGCTGGACAAGCATACAGATAGACAGAAGAGACGGAGGCAGGCAAAGGGACACCAAGCCTCTGAGCAAGCAGACATACAGAAACTTCTTGGGCCAACACTCGTCGAGCCAGCGCTGGCTTCAAGTGATCCGAAAAGGAATAAAGGGGCTTCTCCACAGCAGCCTGCAGGGCGACGCAGGGACAGTAACTACACACCATGGCACGCATCCCCGTTTGGCCAGGCACATCTCTGCTAGCGCAGGTGCTGCGAGTGCGTCAAGCAGTGCTTCAAGGAAGGGATCCAAACCGCGCTGCGGCTTGACAAGTATTTTACAGACCGATCTTCTCTTCACAGGACAAAGCAGATGCAGTGACCGCAATTGTCAACAAGGCACTGCCTGCATTCGCATTAGCAATTCGGCCAGCTTCTCTGCATCCTGTCAAGCATTGCTGCACCGGCGTACATCAGACAAAGAACTTCGCTGCAGCAGAGACCATCCAATACAAATAGTCTTGAACGCACTGGCTCCAGCGCATCCATCTTCTTTGGCAGCTCAGACTTGGTGACCTGTCAAGCCCAAGCCAGCAAATTGCCCAACTCGTATCATGCATCCTGAATCCTCGCAGACATGGGCACATGCTGGTGTCAGCAAGGCAGTGCACCGTTATCCAAAAACAGCATCGGTCCTGAGCCTGAATAAGTCTGTACGCAACTGGTCGGTCTTAGCGTATCTACCAGTTTCACAGGAATCCTAGGCCGGTCGGTAGGACATCTGTCAGCATCGGCTAGCCAGCGTGCAAACCACCATATACGATCTTCTGCAGTACTCGGCTTGTGGATCGAAGCGGCTGGGCTGAACCGAACGGCTGAACAGGCATCAGACCAATGAGAGCGAAAATGGGTGTGCAGCGAATTTGAAGCGAAACCTTCACATTTCACTGTTTACTGAATTCAAGACATGCACTTGAAACATGCTGCGGGCACTGGTGCCGGGCAAAAACGACCACGGTGTCCAGTAGCGAAAACCTCTCTTACTCGAGGATTATACAGGCTGCGAAAGGCACTGCGCATCACCACATGCGACCTCTCTAAGAATTTGGGAAAACCGCGCGAGGTGCCTTCTTACCCTGACTGACTGAATTTGTTCAAAAATAGGCGCCATGCGCCATTTCTCGGGGTTCTGGCAGTGCACCTCAACGGTGTACCGGTGCACCTATCTGGTGCCGTCAGGAAACCCATCTCATCAAGATCTCTGATCGAGCTCAGCCCGGCCCTTTAAAGGAAGACCGGACTGACAACGTAAACGAAATGCAGTCACACTAACTTATCACCCTCAGCATGAGCCACGTCCAATGTTGCATCCAGCATCCTGCGAACGGAGCTGAGGAAGATTTAGTTGAGTGACATTGAGTGAGAAACAAAAAAGAACAGCTCTCCCCCGTCCTTCCAAGCTCCCACACCACATCCTCTCCAGGCGCCCGGTGCAACTTGATCGCAGTCTCAACGATGGACTGAAGCTCCTGCGGCGAGTGACGAGCACACCAGCGGCTGATCTCGTACCAAGCCTCCGATGGCATCAGGCTTGGCGGATTTGGCTTTGCTTGTCCAGCCAGAATCGTGTCCAGCTTGGTCAGAAATTTCCCCCATGTTTCATCTGGCCGCTTTGCCCACTTCTTGCGTTGTGAGGCCAGCGAGTAAACTGCAGGAATGATCAGGACAATCTTCTCCGGAGAAACCTGCGACACATCCTTGCTTCCGATTGATTTGACGGCAAATGTGGAGTTCTCGTGGATCACCTGCAGTGTCGATTCGAAGTGCCGCAGCTTAGAAGGCTTAGATGCCCTCTTCGTGCGAAGTATCGGCTGTACAGCACCCACGTCGTCAGACAGATTAAAGTCCATCTCCCTGGCCAGGCTTGCGCTTCGCACACTAAGTTCGTTTTGTGCCTTACCGGATCGCGTCTTCATTGCCTTCGCTGCCGGGACAAGCAAGACCAGGAAACTGCTTCCGCAGGAGGCCAAAGAGAGCCATGTCTTCGCTTGCTCGGAGGTAAGCAGTGTAGAGGACGCGGCACAGATGAGAAAGCAAACGCTGCTGACAGTGGACTCCAAGGAGAGCTTCATGCAAACCGCTCTCTCCTTTCAGGCATGAAATCTCCAAACACGACCCCTTCTGAACCCTTCTGTCTCCTTGTCTCTGGTCCACAGCGTCACAGCCGAAGCCAGCGCGGATGCCAGCAGGCACAAGAAGCACACCAGGCGATGGCAAAATCCTCCAACGGCATTCCAAGGTCCGTCTAAACAACTTGAAGCATGAGAGCATGGCGATTGCACAGCTTCCAAAACTCGACAGGGTCCTCCGGATTGGGATTGCTGCAGATGTAAATCGGGCAGCATGTACTCCATTTCTCTTGGCTTGCTACCCGAGCTCACTAAACGACCAATGGTCTGCCTAACGAGAACATGCACTTAACATGCTACATCAGCGCTTCTGCTGGTCTCTGCTGTAATGACAGAAATTGCGACAACGTGCTCCAACTAACACTTCCAAAAGGGGGAAGCTCTGAAAAAAGCCAACCTGCAGATAGTCGATTGCTTTGAACAGAATGCTCCCTACGTGTCGCAAGGAAGCATAGCGAAGCAAATAGCAGAGGGAGCCTGATTCAGATCAGCCAGATTCTTCACCTATCGCCCAGCGATACTTGGTGCCAGCTGCGCAGCCAGAAATCCGAGATACTGACCAAAGATCGCAAACCAGGCCGCCACCAGGTGTGAGAGCCTGAACGGCACCAGAGCGCCGCCGGCATGACAAGGCGATGCTCGGGCCCAGGGCTCATGACAAGCTCGATGAGGTCTTGATGGGGGCTGCCCAAGCTCTCCCTGGCAGATCAGCCGACGCTTCTCAGAAGCTATGGCAGCTGTCTCACTATCCGGCCCTGGAGACACCTGTGCACACTCTGCCATGCCTGTACCGCTCTGGAAGGAGATCCTCAAACGTCTCAGCGGAGAACCAGGCACCCTCCGCAACCGCGTCCTGGACACGAACCGGGCTGGCTGCGGACATTGCGCAGCGCAAGATGTGCGAACCAATGCAACACATTGACATGAATTGACATCAGGGATTGCCAGTGTCAGACGTCTTCTCCCACCTTCAAAGCTTCTGTTTGTCCTGGGTCGAGCTAGTTCGGAATTGGTCGCTACACTTCACATCTACAGCGTGAGCAAGAGGATTCCGACTACAGAACAACGTGCTTCAGCTCCTGCAGAAACGGTGCAGGTAGGACACTGCTGACATTTCTGAGCCTCAAACTATCTTGAGACACCTGTCCAAGCATGGCTACTTTGCCGATGCGTGTAAACATCTCACAGATCAGGACAAATGCCGATGTAATCAAGCTGCTCCAAAACACAAGATCCCTGCGCTTGCCGCCACCAAAAGTTTCAGGACCGCTGCCTCAATTTTGGGGGCCGGCAGCTCTTCTGCCGTGTCCACCAAGCCTGCAGCGTGCTCCAAAGAACAATCTTTTTCCTGGATTCCGGGCCCAAGGACTACAGACACAGGTCAGCATAGCGCAGAAACTCACACACTCACGTCACTTACGTGACTGCCCCCCACGAAGAGCCCCAAAGCGGTTCCAAGGTGCGGCGCCTTCCAGCTGCGCCTCGAGCCCGGCGAAGGGGTCTGCAGCGGGGTCCTGAGCTGGGCGCAGGGCGCTTTTTTCATCTCGCAAGATCCTAAAAACAAAGAAAAAAGCCACTCTCCGGGAGAGAAGAGAATTCTGTAAGGCAGGGGCTTCGGTGACTGGCTCCTCCGGCGGCTCCTCTTTCGGCTCTGGGAGCTCCTTCGGAGGCTCCTTCGGAGGCTCCTTCAGAGGCTCCTTCGGCTCTTTGTCCTTCCTTGGTACATAAGAGCTTACCCTCGAGTTTTGTATATGGAAGTATAATGAAGTCTATAGATATCAGGGCTGACAGACGCTGGGAGACTTAACCGGAGAAGCTCAGGACAATCAAACAGAATATCAATGGCTCTGCGTCACATGGACTGCAGTCTCACGAGCCATCTTGGACATTCTGGGGCTCTCACTTGGCTTTCTTTCGCTTGGACACTGGCGATGCTGCAGGTGTGTCAACGCCCTCTTGCTCATTCACCTTGGCACATCTGAAGAAATCCTAGAGAATGCTGTGCGGTGTCACCGATTTCTGAGCTTGGCTAGACATGGAGATGTTCGCGTGTGCACGTAGAGTCTGGGCTCCACACCTGAAGGCGTTTGGTCTTCAGATTGTCCTTCCCGGCAGCGGTCCTTCTTCGCTTTGGGGAGGAGACTTCCTTTGTGTCGCCGGCTGCAGGAGCAGGAGCCGACACGACCTCCACAGAAAGATCTGGTGAGAGTCGGACAAGCGACTGGACATCCTGGGGCAAAGGCACTTCCTCCCACGCGCGGCATGTGCTCAGCTCACAAGACTAATCTTTGTAGTCTGGCGGGCTCCTGCTTTGCCAACGGACACTTCAAACCCTGTCTGCTTGTCTGTTCTTCCTGTGTCTGTCATCCGATCCATGTGTAGTTTTATCTGCAGCTATCGTTTGTACCGGCTCGGTCTCGCATGTGCATAGCAGTTCTTATTGCTGTGCGAAGCAGTGCTGCTCGTCTATCTACCCATGCATGTACCCTTCTACAGGCTGGCCATTGGTTGCCTTCCTGTCCCGCTTAATATACAGCCGAAGGCCACTTGGTCGTGTCGTCATGTAGATGCTGTGTCACAACTTTGTTTTGCACGCCTGCTCGGTTAGCAAGTGCTTCAGGTGGGTGTGTGTGTGTGTGTGTCCGTGTGTGCGAGTGCTTGTGCCTCATCAAGCGCATGAAATGGCTCGACAGTAAGGTGTGACGGCACAGTTACACCGGCAACGGCTTGGCTTAACACCGATATGCAAACGCCCGACTTTGCTTCGGCAAGTTGAAGCACGGTTCCTACCAGCAGCAGAATTCTGAATTAAGGACACTGCAACGAATTAGGTCCAAGTTAGACTAGCAGGAGACCTACCGAAGATACTGACATGATGGTGCATGTGCAGTCTTTGTGCACTTGAACTTTCAAGCCGTCTGTTCTGCAATCTCCGTATCCGGGACCGCCCCCGGGTTCCAGCAAACTAAGAAAGAGAGGAATGCTGCCAAACAAATCTGCGCGGTGAACCTTGCAACAGCGGTAGCAGTCGGTTCCAATACTAACGAAGAAATGCTGCGGCCTGCAATGCGTTCAACCTGGGCACCCGGCGCATTCCCCGCCTGGGCTGTTCAGTAACTCACCGAGAAAGGTAGATGCTTCTTTGGGCCAGTTACCTAGAAACCCAGAAACACAACAACAAAAAGGTGCACTACTGAACAACTCAGCTGCCATATCATTCAACTGCGTTTCAGTCAGCAGCTGTTCCATTCGGTAGGCACTAATTTCCTCCGGTCCGACACCCTGTAGAAAGCATTTCTCCTGAGAACAGAACGCTCATATCGCTGTCTACCAGAAGCTGGGAAACCGTCGCCTGCGGCGTCTTCACAAGCAAGACCCGCCTGCTTGTCCATGAGCCTCCATGTCGGGCCAGTGACGATGTACTTGCCTTTCGGGATCACGCAAGGCGCGATCCTGTGGTCCGACCGATGCCAAGATCTTCCGAAGCCCTGGTCCTCAGCGTTAAGTCCGTTAAGGTATTCGGTATTCGGATTCAGGTTTACCCTTAGCATAGTAATTAGAATAATAACCCATCGCAGCAGCAGCCGCAGAAGTGGCAGTGGCAGTAGTGGTAGCACCAGCAGCAGCAGAAACAGGAATAGAAGTAGGAGCGGGAGTGGGAGTGGGAGCAGCAGAAGCGGCTAGCAGTAGTAGTAGTAGTAGTAGTAGTAGTAGTAGTAGCAGTGGTAGTATTACTAGTAGTAGTGGTAGTAGTAGTAGTAGTAGAAGAAGCATCAACAGCGGTAGTGTCCATCATGTAACTTTTTCCGACAGTCTTGGGGATGATCTTGTTCCTGTGAATACGAGTGAGCCCTACACCCACTGCTCCCTGTCAATCAGTGCGGTGACTCCCGTAAGCAATCTTGAACAGCACCACTAGGCCTGAAGAGCCACATGCTTAACGTTAGATGCCTCCAGGCATCCACTTGAATCACAACCGGCTCCTTCCACACGTCTACATTCCGAGCTTGGAGTTCGTATGCAGCGAGGGCTACCACATGGATCTCACGAAGGGTCAGAGGCAGATCCATGGACAAGACTTCTCGGACTTTGAAATCCAGCTGCTCCTCCCGCAATGAGGGCTGTGGCAGCTGTCTGGTAAGTCACAAACGGCAACACAAGCAAAGAACCAAAAAGTCAGAAGCGCCAGTCAGCCCGCCTCCCCGAGCCTCTTCGCCAATTCTGCAAACTGTCGACTCCACTTGGCACCTCCTTCTCCCCTTGGCTTTTGCACTTTCTCGCTTGGCAGTCGCCTGGGGCCTTTGGCTGCCAGCACGTTGGCCAAGGGCACCACTTCGCAGCGGAAGGAGAGGAAAGTGTTCGAGAGGGCAACTTCTGCCTCGAGGCCGCCAGGCCCCGTCCGCGAAGACGTCTTCCGTAAGTACCTGAGGTGACAACAGCTGACCGAAAGTGGCGTTCACACAGGCTTCAGGAAGTTGAAGCCTATCAAGGTGGGAACCACAATCTGCGAGCCGAAAATCCCAAAGCCCCAACCCTTTGAACTCGTCCTTGCCGAGCCTAGCAGGGCCCCTGTCCTAATGACCCGTGCATCCAAACCTCTGGCCGAACTTGCATCACTGAAGCACCAAACTCCAGCACCGTGAAACCGTCACGAATGAACGAATATTCCTTTGCTCAAGGACCCATGAACTCCCAATTTGGGTCCGGCAGCAAGCTCCATGAGCGATTTCGGCTCTGGGGTGGCCCGAACTCGTGCGCGGAGACCCGATGCGAAGATGCCAGAAAGCCTCCGCCAGGGATTTCAGGATGCTGTTGGCGCGTTTAGAATCTTTTTCATCTTCCCTCGTGTTGTACGTCATGATTCGGATGACCACTGTCATGGCCCTGGCACGAAACACACCGATGTATGTCAATGGTGGTGATACTGATGATGGCGAATCTTGTTCTTTTAGAACAAAATTCCTGCCAGCCTGGTAGTAGCAAATTTTAGCAGCAGCAGCAGCCGCCGCAGCAGCGGCTGCTACTACTAATACTACCACCACCACCACCACCACCACCAGTTTGTTGTTGTTGCTGTTGTTGCTGCTGCTTTTTGGTAACTAACTTACGAAGTTCTGTAAGTTCTAAAGGGTGCTGCAAAAATGTTTATCAAGCTCTTGCTAAAGGACTTACTGGAGGTTAAAGGGCCTCGATCGGGGCTTTTATCGTTTTGTAGGGTTTTCATCGGTTGCAAACGGTCCTCAGGAACTCTAAGCATGTCCTTAGGAAGCAGGATGCTTCGACGGTTTACGCGTGCAAACGGAATTTGTTGAAGAACCTAGTTAAGCTACATAAGACAAAGGCATTCTAGAGCCCAGTGGCTTCAGGCGGAGCTTTTCTGTGAGGGAGGGGGGGAGTTGAGGCTTTTAGGTTTTTATGGCTTGGGATTTGGAGTTTGGGGTGTCCCGAAGAGCCTGCTCCATGTATTTGGGTCCAGACGGGTGAAGTTGAAAGCTTGTGGTCTTCCTAGTGAATTCAGATCTAAAGCCTCAACCCTAAACCCTAAACCCCTAAACCCTAAACCCTAAACGCCCTCAAACCCTAAGTAACACGGAAGCCTGATGATCAGCACTTGGTGCTCGAACCTCCACCTCTCATGCAACCCTTCTCGACCCCGTAAAGACACAGTCCAAGAAGCTTTCGGGCCTTGCCAAGCGACATACTGTAAAACCCAAAAAAACACTCCCTAAACCCTAAAGCACAAACCCTAAACCCTAGACCCGAATCTTCAGAGTGCCTCGTTCTCGAAAGGCCATATCTTGAATGTCGATGGGCCGCTCAAAGTGATCTTCTCTTCGCTTGTGCCACATGTTGCCACTGTTTTCCACACCAAGGAAGGCCAGCCTGCCGCACTTATCCACCACCTGCCAAGTGGGTTGGAGAAGACCTACTTTAACCTTGTCGATGCACTTCATCTTTAAAAGTCGCTCAAAACACTTCGCCTGTAGCATGTTGGCATAGCCCTTGCCCGTGGCAGTGCTTGAATCTTTGAACTGTCCGGGGCCAGTGTTGAGACTGGAGAGGTCGACACACGGATACCCCACGAAACCACCATCGAGATCCTGCATGCAACTTTCCTTTCGATCTCTCAACTGATTGTTTCGACTCAGACGCTTTTAGAACGGGGCAGTCCATGGGAACAAGGAGTCTTCGACCGCTTCGATACTCCCAGGCGCAGCCACTGGCCACCTCACTGGCATCCGTGAAGATGTGCTGCACCTCCTTGAACGCCTCGGCCAGGTAGCGGCACTTGTCCAGGTTGGATTCGCACATCCACGCGAACTCCACCTTCCAGTTTCAAGTGGAACGTTGCAAGGTGCGTTCTTACTTGTCGGCTTTATTTATGTCCGGCCTGAAGCGTCTCCCCTGTCCCCTTCAGCGACTTGAAGACACGGCTCACAGCACTGGCCACCATTTCCGCCGTGCCCCAGCCAGTGTACATGGAAAAAAGCCGTAGAGGCTTGCCTCGCGCAGCGGTTGCTGAGATGTCACCGAGGAGATCTGCTTTGCGCTCAAAGTTCCAGCGGACAAAGCCTTCGACCTCTCCACAAACTTTCAATCCTACATCATGATGACACGGTTTTGGCGCTTGAGCCCTGGCAATCTGCTGTCTTCGCACCAAGGACAGAGCTGAAGGGACAGCCATCGGCGGTTTGGGACTTTGAACTCCACAATGTGCATGCCTGGAACTTCAGACGCAGACTCCCACTGGCAAAGGACTCAAAACCTTCAAAACCAAATCATCCGAAACACTGGTGAGTTTTCGCGTGGATATGGACATCGAAGCCTTCAGAGGTCCATGTCCTGCAGCGCAACTTGGGGACACATACCCACGCCACAAAAAAATGCCTGCAGTCGCTTCCAAGGGGAACTCCCCACAATGTCCTCAAGCTTTCGGTGTCGAGGCGGGCCCGCTTGCAGTCGTGCATATAGCATTGGCTTCAGATACATAGATACATAGATACCTCCCCTTTTAGGGTTTAGCGTTTTGGGTTTAGGGTTTAGAGTTTAGGGCTTAGGGCTTAGGGTTTAGTGCCGCAATCGGATCCAAAGCTTCATGCACGCAAAATCCTGAGCTCAACGAGCAGAAACGGCAAGTGTGCAAGGAAACTGACAAGAAGCATGGCAATGTACTGTGACAGACCATGGACACGGTTAATTTCATTTGCTAAACCAGAATAGTAGCAGAATGTCCCTTTACTACGCAACTTCACGCTATCTTCAT